TGTGAAGCAAGGGGCAGTCAGTTCACCAGAAGATGGCTCCCCTGCTGTTTTGGCTAAACCTGAAATTCATCTTGGAGGGACCGCTTACTTTCATGGACCCTCAAAAAACAGGATACCACAGTGTTCAACCCTAAATCTCAACAAACACTCCTCTCACTTGTTTTTTGTTGTGTGTTCATGTTTGTGTGAGTGTGTACACATGTGTGCACAGATGCAAGTGTGTTCATGTTTGTGTGAGTGTGTGCACATGTGTGCACAGATGCAAGTGTGTTCATGTTTGTGTGAGTGTGTACACATGTGTGCACAGATGCAAGTATGTTCATGTTTATGTGTGTGTGTGTACACATGTGTGCACAGATGCAAGTATGTTCATGTTTGTGTGAGTGTGTGCACATGTGTGCACAGATGCAAGTATGTTCATGTTTTTGTGATGTGTACACATGTGTGCACAGATGCAAGTATGTTCATGTTTGTGTGAGTGTGTACACATGTGCACAGATGCAAGTATGTTCATGTTTGTGTGAGTATGCACACATGTACACAGATGCAAGTATGTTCATGTTTGTGTGTGTACACATGTGTGCACAGATGCAAGTATGTTCATGTTTGTGTGAGTGTGTACACATGTGTGCACAGATGCAAGGACTCGTGTGTGTCTGTAGGCCAGAGGTTGATGTGTTTCTCAATCATTTCCACCTTATTTTTTGAGACAGGATCCCTCACTGAACCTGGAAATCGCCAATTTGGCTAGGCTGGCTGGCCAATGAGCTCCTGGGCTCCATCTGTCTCCACCTTCCCAGTGCTAGGGTTATAGACTCATGCCTTCATGTCTGGCTTTTATGTGGATGTTAGGGATCTGAACTCAGGTCCTACATTTGTACAGAATGTATGTTACTGAGTATCTCTGAACCCTTCTCCTGCTTCTCACAATGTAGCCCAGACTGGCCTCAAACTCTTGACTCTCCTGCCTCCATCTCCTGAGTGCTGGAATTATAAACAGGCACCAGCTCATGTTTCTGATTTTTTTGTTCATTTGTTCTTTCGTTTGTTTGTTTGAGACAAAGTTTCTCTATGTAGCCTTGGCTGTCCTGGATCTCACTCTGTAGACTAGGCTGGCCTCAAACTCAGAAATCCGCCTGCCTCTGCCTCCCAAGTGCTGGGATTAAAGGCATGTGCTACCACATCCCAGATGATTTTCTAGGAGAAAGACAGAAGTAGATTTTTAGGTAAAATCAGATTAAACAATAATTTCTTAATGTATATAAATTCTTTCCTCTAAGATCCAAATGAAATATATCTAGGACATATGGATCATGTCAACCATCAACCCGAAGTCTGTTCCATACAAAACTGAACAATTTGTCTGGAGAGGCTTCCCCAGTGGGTTGTGGGGTCCCCTGTCTTGGCCTTTGGTGTAGAGTGGGGGCAGCGGCTCTAAGGTCACCGCCCAACTCTTTTGCACTATTGACATGTTGAAACAGATTATTCTTCCTTGTGGCAGGCTTTCTTGGTGTTTCAAAGCCAGTAGCATCCTCTTAGCTGTGACAATGTGACACTGCCAAATGTCGCCCTGGCAGGGGAGGGAGCAAGAGACACTGACCTAAGTGGAATATTTTAACCAGTTCACAAAACTTCCTGGACGGCATGCAACCTGCTCAGATGCCAAGATAAGGAAGGTTCTGGAAACTACAATGACTGCAATAATAATCTTCTTTTTTTTTTTTTTTTTTTTTTGGTTTTTCGAGACAGGGTTTCTCTGTGTAGCTTTGCGCCTTTCCTGGAACTCGCTTTGGAGACCAGGATGGCCTCGAACTCACAGAGATTCACTTGCCTCTGCCTCCCGAGTGCTGGGATTAAAGGAGTGCGCCACCACCGCCCGGCTAATAATCTTAATAGTAATATTGGTACTGGGGATTGAATCCAAAAAGGAATATTTTTCAACACTTTTTATTATATAAAACAAAATGATTTAAAAAATGAGAAGCATCCAAGCATGGTGGCACACACCTTTAATCCCAGCACATAGGAGACAGAGACTGGCAGATCTCTGTGAGTCCAAGGCCAGCCTGGTCTACAGAGTAAGTTCCAGGACAGCCAGGACTACATAGTTGTTGGAGCCATGCAGCCTGATTTCAGACCAATATGTGAGTGCTTGTCCAACGAGTCTCCAGATGAGGCAAAAGCCCATGGGGACAGTCTCACTCAGCAAGGACCAGTGGACTTCAGGACAGCGCAGAATACTGCTGGGACCGTGCGGCCTGCACGCTCTGTTCTCTATAGTAATAGTGATGATTCTCGTGGCGGTTTTAGTGCCATTTTGTCAATCATGCATGGGACAGATGTGATCATTCCTGGAAACCCCATTTTTTTCTTGAACAGTTTCCCCTAAAATTCTTTGGGAGCTGCTGCTTCTCAGGATCCTTGTCTGGGGATGCCAGCTGTCGCTCCAGACCCCGGGAGCTGTTCTGATTCAGTGCTGACAGGATCAGAGGTGGATCACCCCTATTTCTGTAAATATGCTTTGAACGATATTGCTGTCAATCACCTTTTAGTTCTGTAAAGACAGGATGTACCTGGCTCGATATTTGGCCACGCTAGCAAAATGGCAAGTGTTGTTTTGGTTTAAAAATGTTTTGGTGTAAAAGTTGGGAAAAAACATATTTGATGCCCCTTCCCAGTCTCAGGACCTGAACCCAGGCTGCAGTGTGACTGAGGCACAGAGCAAGACCCTGCCTCAAAACAAAGACAAAAAGCTGATAGAAGATCAAGTCATTCAATATATATCTGACAGAATTTCCAAAAAGCAAAACCAGAGGAAATGGCGATGGGGAGAAAACCAAACAGGTGTCTATTCAGTGGAGGAAAGCTTCTGAGGCAGGAAAGATGGTGTGTGTTTGTGGTGTTCACCCAAGAGCACACTGGTATCATCTGGGATTTCACTCCCGGATTCTGGGACTCCGGCCTCCCGGCAGAATGGAGCATCAGTGGCTGGATTTCTGTTACCACCTCAGTGAAGACACAAGAATTCAGGAAGCAACAGACCATCAGCATTGACCAGGGCAAGGAAATTCCAGGAAGAAAGTGAACCGCCCGAGGACTTTCTCAGCTGGGGAGACAGAACAGATAGTCGGGGACAGCACCAGAGGCTTCAAGATGGTTCCCCAGAGGCCAGAGCTGAGCAGCCTGGAGCCCCGATCTTTATAGGACTCTTCTCAAGTGCTCAGCAAGGAATCAATAAGTATGTGTATGGAGCAAGCCACTCAAGGCCAGGGAAAGAGGCACCTGCAGGGTTAGCCAGACCAGTTCCAGGACTGACAGGGAGCCAGGGCAGCTCCAGCCAGGTTAGACACACTCAGAATTCACGAGACACTGGGTGGACTGTTGAGGAAGGCCTTGCCTCCCTGGTGGGGATGACTAACCCATGGCCGAATACTCCTTATCATAAAGATGATCATAATCATTCGGATTATGCAAAGGTCTGCTGTTTATCTGACCAGCAATAAAAGATTAACAGGCATAAAGAGCAGAGTGAAGAGATGATCTAGAGTTGGGAGAAAATATCTGCAAACAACGATTGATAAGGGGTCAATATTTGCAAAGCATAAGGAACTTAGGCAGAGGAGTGGAAACTACGCTCTGTTTACACAGAGTAAAACCCACCAGAAACAATCTGACTCAGAACCATCCTGACTGACTCACAGAGGCAGAAGGGAGAAGGGAGACCTTCGGGCTGGGGGTTAGGGAGAGGCGGGAGATAGAGTTAAGGCTGGAAGATTGGCGTGAGAAAGGAGAAGTCAATATTTAAGGTGGTGTGTATGTAACTTAATTCAATTATTGGCATTGTGTACACTGAGGCAAAATAGACAAAAGTTCTGGGGACGTGGGAAGGAAAAGAGGCCCCGGAGTCTGGGTAAAATTAGTCACAGAGATGTCTGTCTTCCTACAGGTCTCCAGTGGGGATGTAAAGAGCAACAAGCTAAGCAGGCCTGGTGACACACATCTTTAGTCCCAGCACTCCAGAGGCAGAGGCGGGCAGATCACTGTGAGTCTGCGGCCAGCCTGGTCTAAATAGTGGGTTTGGGGTCAGCCAGGGCTACATAGTGAGAATTTGTCTCAAACAAAAGAAAATGAAAAAACAAGCTGAGGACCAGTGAATTCACTCGGCTGGGTACTGTACTGCCACCAGGCCTGACAATTAGAGTTTGACCCTTGGAACCCACATGTTGGAAAATTTTAATTCTTGTTTGAAATGACAACCTTTGAATAATTGTAATTTAGAAAAATCACAAAACTCTGTTGAGTCACCACAGAGACACCAAAGTGAAATTCTCTCAGGGTCTCAAGACTTAAATGTCTACTGTCCTTTCTCAAGTCTCCCAGTCTCTCTCTCAATCCTGTTTCTCTGCACGCTGGCTCTCATTCCCAACACTCATGCTTAAACACAAAATGCATGTATATTCCTTACTTTTTTTTTTTTAGACAAAGTCTTACCATATATATAGCCCAGGCTGGCCTCAAACTCACAGAGATCCTCCTGCCTCTGCCTCCTGAGTGCTGGAATAGATGTGGGCCACCACACTCACCCTATCACTTATCTTAGCAAATTTGATAACGTAACTCCATTCTAACTTCATGAAATTCATTTCTGTGTTGTAGTCAAGAATCCAGCTTTAGGGACTGGAGAGATGGCTCAGCAGTTAAGCGCACTGGGTGCTCTTCAGAGGACCTGGGTTCAGTTCCCGGCCCCATGTGGTTCCTCACAACTGTCTGTACCTACAGCTCCAGGGGGCCCTGATGTCCTCATCTGGCCTCCACAGGCACCAGGCATGCACATGGATCACAGACACACATGCAGGCAAAACACTCATTTTTTTGTTTTGTTTTGAATTATTTTATTTTATGTGTATGGATGTTTTGTACATATGTCTGTGCATGTCACTCAGGATGCACTCTGTCACAGAGCTACAGCCCCAGCCCTTGGTTTTTTTTTTTTTTTTGGTTTGGTTTTTCGAGACAGGGTTTCTCTGTGTAACTTTGGAGCCTGTCCTGGAACTCACTTTGTAGACCAGGCTGGCCTCGAACTCACAGAGATTCACTTGCCTCTGCCTCCCAAGTGCTGGGATTAAAGGTGTGCGCCACCACCACCACCACCCAGTGGGATAGGTGCAAATTTACCAACAGTCTAATGATCAGATTGTAGTTCACAGTTTGGACTCACAGCGCTTCACTACTGGGGGCCTCCGAAGGTAAAGCTGCCCAAATGACCGATGTTCGGGGCACCGTGAGAACAAAGCCAGGAGACGCTGAAACGTTTGCAGATTTTCCCTCTGGCGAGAGCTCATGCTGTGTGTTCATATCATCGCACGATAGCGAGATCTTTTCAAGTGCAAAATTGTTTCCAGAAACATGGGTTTGCTAAAGGGTATTGCTGGTTTTAAACACCTCCACCCTTCATTGGCCTTGGCACATAAAAACTCCTGCGAAGACTCATGTGTGTGGAGAGGATCCTTCTCAACTAAGTTTGATCCTTTGTTGCCTCCCACCGAAGGCCTCCCGCTCTGGCCCAACGTAGCTTTAGTTGGTGACTGGGTTGAATGGTAGGACCAGAGCTGAGTAGATGAAAGTGTAAGTGGGTGGGTAGGGTAGATGGGTGGGTAGGGTAGATGGGTGGGTAGAAGCTGACTGGTTGGGGGAGAGGCAAAACAATGGAAGCCAGTGTGCAGGTGAGTAAATGGAAGGGAATGTTGATGAACTTGTGAGTGAATCAGTTTTAGCTGAACTTGGGCTTTGCATGTCACTGGGACAGTTGCATGAAGATCTGGACAAGCCGGCAAGTGGGTGGAAGAATTCCCCCAGCTTTCTTCTCCTTTCTGCCCAAGGTCTTTTTTGTTCTGTTTTGTTCTCAGGTTTTGGTTTTTTTTTTTGTTTTTTTTTTGTTGTTGTTGTTTGTTTTGAGACAAGGTCTATGCAGCCCATTTTGGCCTCCAAAATGTGATTCTCCTGCCTCAGTTTTTCAAGTGCCTGGATTCAAGGCTTCTTTCTTCTATCTCTTCTCCTCTGAAAGGGGTTCTCAGTCAGCAGCCCAGCTGGACTAGAACTGGCTATGTAGATTTGACTGGCCTGGAACAGGCAGTCCTCCTGGCTCTGTCTGGTGAATGCTGGGAACACAGGCATACGCCACCACCACCAACCCAGTCTTGGGAAACAGATAGATGCTGTATTTGGTGTCCCTAGCCAACTGGCCTATTGTCTTTTTGAGTCCCCGAGCTGTGTGGCTGCATTGCCCTCTGGTGGTCATAAGGGCATTTGTAAGAATGTTTCCTTTTCATTGTTCTTCCCGACTCCACCCTACCCCACCCCCTCAGATACAGTCTCCGTGAGGACAAATGGTTCTGTCTGCTTGCTCATTGTTTTATATGCAGCATCTACAATACTGTCTGGCATCCATTGAAAGGAAGGAAGAATGCTTTCAAATTCTACCCCGCCACTGTGTTATAGACTCCACAGTAATGCTCTTAACCTCACAGGCCTCAGTTTCTTTGTGGGTAACATGGAAATGTTGACACCCCACACCTCCCCATCATTAACTGAAGGATGGGACCTACACATTTGGGGCCAGAGCACTCAGTCCCTGCCTCTTCCCTTCTCATCCTGCAGTCCGCCCTGATGACGCCATAGGCGGACAGCAGTAGTCATCTTCACTTAGCAAGTCAATTTGGCCATTTGTCAAAGGCTTCGCACTGGGCATGGGCCAGCCTGGAGACGTGCTGTAGCCCTAGCCCCAGGCTGGCCAGGAAACCAACCACCAAGCGGGAAGGGAGACTCCTGCCATCTCCTCCCTCCAGCCCCCTGAGCCACACCCAGCCTCTCTCTGCCCCCTGAGCCCTCTAAGAGGTTCTAGCCTCTACTCCAGCATTTCTCAACCTGTGGGTCTTGACCCCTTTGGGGTTGCATATCAGATATTTACATGACGATTCATAACGGTAGCAAAATTACAGTTATGAAGTAGCAATGAACATGTTATGGTTGGGGGGTCACCACAACGTGAGGAGCTGTATTAAAGGGTCAGAGCATTAGGGAAGGCTGAGAACCACTGCTCTACCCACACTGGAGCCTGTTCCACTGGCAAGGCCCACATTCAAGCCTCCCCAGACCGCTTCCTTCCAACTCCCTGTAGCCGCCCTGCCCCTCTCCAAACGCATCTTCCTTCAGAGGACTGACTGCCCTGAAAATAGGCTTATCTCATTTTTCTAGCTTGAATCTGATTGTCGTTGGGACAGAGTCCAAAGCCTCATCTGACCTACTATTTTGTGGTCTGGAGGCAGCCTATCCCCTAGTCATCTTGCTTTCCAGAGCCCAGCTGCAACTATTTCAACACGCACTGCAAGCCATTACCTACCTCTGGGCCTCTGCCCATGCAGTCGCCTCTGCCCGGAAACCAACACCCTCCTCTCTCCTTCGAGGAGTGTGTGTGCTGCGTTGGCTTTCCTGGGATCTATTTGCTTTCCTCTGGTAATGGAATCCCTTCCCAGTTCACAGATTCAGAGAATCCTGGAGGGGCTACTCATTTCTGAGTTCAAAATTGAGCTTAAAATTCAGCCTGACGGAGTTCATTAAAAATAATAAGTGCCAGGTGGTGGTGGCACACACCTTAATCCCAGCACTCGGGAGGCAGAGCCAAGCAGATCTCTGTGAGTTTGAGGCCAGCCTGGGCTACAGAGTGAGATCCAGGAAAGGCACCAAAGCTACACAGAGAAACCCTGTCTCAAAAAACCAATAATAATAATAATAATAATAATAATTGGGGCTGGAGAGATGGTTCAGGGGTTAAGAGCACTGGCTGTTCTTTCAAAGGACCTGAGTTCAATTCCCAGCACCCACGTTGCAGGTCACAAATATCTGTAACTCCAGTTCCAGGGATCCGACACCCTCACATAGACATACAGGCAGGCAAAATACCAATGCACATAAAAATATATAAAAATAACAATAATTGCAACATTAGCCAAGCAGAGTGGCTTATGCTGGTATCTGAACACTTGGGAGGTGAAGGCTTAGGAATCAGTAGCTCAAGACAAGCCTTGGCTACATCGTGAGTCCTGGGAGAGCCTGGGCTACATGAGCTATATAAGTAAGCTACATGAGCTTGAGTCTTAAAGGAAAAACAGAACAGCAATGCTGTAGATGTGACATGTGCGGGATGCAATGTACTGCCACTGGGTACAGCCCACCCCCTCTGTTCCAGCCTCACTCGCTAATTTTAGATTCTGGAGCATGAGTTTGGGTCTCCTAACACACATTCCCCACTGTGGCCCCTCTCAGGCTCTGATACCACCCAGAATTCTAGATTTGGGGCTTGCTGACTACTGGAGCATCCCTGGGCCCATATTTCCTGCACTGGGCCCAGCAGTGCCCAGTTCTGTGGGGACTCGGTTCTCCTTCTTCAGAGGGAGGAAGGAGTTGGGGCTCTCAAAGACCTAAGGTCTCTGGAGTTGGACCACCTTGCTAAGAGTGTGGCCGTGCTGCCCCTGGAGAAAGGACAGGACCCAGGCGGGGTCAGAGAGGATGGGGGCAGTGTCATGTAGCACATCCAGATCATGATGTCCATGAGAACGGCCCCTTCCATTCAGAACAGCAGCCAGCTCTGTCCAGTATCTCTGCCAAGAAACTCTGGGCCTCCTGACGCACAGTCTGCCAAGAGCAGGGGTCTGGATGATGTGGGCCTCGTCTGTGGGGCTTCTGACTGAAGTAAGCTGAGTGTTTGCCTCTACACGCCCCCAAGGGACACCAGGCAGGAAATATTTCTCAGTCAACCTAGGGCCCTTTGGATAGGGACTTTGTGGGAAAGAGCTGAATTTTTCCTCTCCTTGTGGCAAGGCGTGAGAAGCATGGGCTCTAAGAGGCAGAGGGAGCCCTTGGGAAGAGTCACCTCATGGGCCACCAGCACCTAGGGCCGCTCATGGCCATGTTCCTCCTAGAACTGCCTTAGAAACTCCAGGCTTAGGTGAGGTCATGGTAGTGCCTCAGGCACCAGCCAGGGGTAATGTCCCAGCTAAAGGGCAAACCTGATGCCACACACCTTCAAATATAAGATATTGCTCCCGGTATAAGAAGAGAACCGCCATGCATTTCTACCCAGCGCCTTCCTAATGCTCACAATTTCTAATCTACACATGCAGAAAGAGCTGTTTTAAGTCAGGTGTGGAGGCGTGGGTTGAGCGGCAACACACAGGATCGCATTGAAAGCCAGAAGTACAAGGCCAGCCTAGGCTACATGATGAGGCAGAGGGGGGAGGGGAAGGAGGAGGGAGCAAGAGAGAAGGAGGAAGGGAGGGAGGACGAGGGCTGAGGACAGAGCTGTGTTCGAGCTCTTGCCTGGGGCCCTGGCCCCATCCCCAACACTGCAGGAAGAAAAGAGAGCTTTGGGCTGTGCTAGCCAGTGGCGGTCTCCTGCCAAATGTCCCTAGCTGCACATGAGGCCATGTGGTGTCAGCTGCCGCCTGCCAGAGGCTTGCTATGAGACACCATTCGTTAAGGGGGCCACCCTTCGAGAAGGCAGTGTTTGAACAAGTTTATGTCTTAAAATAGTTGAGCGGCGCTGACTTCTAGCATTTACTGACCACTCGTTATATGGTAGCTGGTATCAACAGCCCAGCAAGGCTGAACAGTTTATGAGACCTATTTTACAGATTAGAAAACTGAGGCAAGCAAAATCAAAATCAGTCCCGGCAGGTCACACAAGCTGGTGGCAGGCCCCAGTGTCAGGTGTATCTTGTTGACCTTTGAACCTAAAAATGTGGGACCTGAGGGGGCCAACAAGCCAGAGTAATGCATACTGGTGGTGTCTTCTTCAGCTTTAGGACCTGCGGGCATAAGGCACTGGAGTATCCCCTTCAGCAAACAGCTTGAGAGAGAAATCCAGGGCCGGAGCAGCCTGGGTCAGCATCCCCAACGAGATGACATCAATGTGGGTCCCACAGAACTGGGGGAGGTTGCCCAGTGTGACGCCCCCACTGGCTTCCACCGCCACGCTGGGGAACTTGGCTTTAAGTGCTGCCGCTGTGGGGTGCAGCTCCTGTAAGATACAGGTCAAGGGGAGGTGAGAGCGCCTCACCCCACCCCTCCCTCACCCCCCACCCTCCCACCCCCGCCACAGGCCCTGTCCTGGAGTCGGATCCATCTCACCTCAGGCTTGAAGTTGTCCAGCAGTACCAGATCAGCGCCAGCCTCTGCTGCCTGCAAGGCCTCCTTCAGGCTGCTGCATTCCACCTCTACTTTCAGAGCGAAATCAGCTGCCTGCCGGGCCCTCCGCACGGCCTGCCAGGCCAATAGAGAGAGGGTGAGGTTGGGTCGCCTGGCACTGGACCCTGGAGAGCCCAGAGAGCTGGGCTTTGAATCACAGGCAAAAAGGAAGTCGGCCTCCCGCATTTACAGATGCCATCCCTGACCCTGGGATCCCTTGTCACCAAGCAGTGGCTGGTAGACTCTGGTGGAGGGACTGGAATGAGGGTCAGAAGCGGACCAGAGTGAGAACAGCGTCTCATCCAGGCTCTCACCTTTTCCACGCCGCCGGCTGCCACCACGTGGTTGTCTTTCACCATTATCAGCCCTCCCAGGTCGTAGCGGTGGCCCGCAGCCCCTCCTACTAGGAGCCCATACTTCTCCACCAGTCGGAACCCCGGAGTGGTCTTCCTCGTGCCCGCCACATGCCCATTCCAGCCGGTGCTCTTGGCCACCTCCACAGCTGTCGCTGCCACACTGGCAGTCCCACTGCAGCGGGCCAAGGTGTTAAGGGCCACCCGTTCCCCCAGCAGCAGGTGGTGGGCAGGTCCCCTGACTTCTGCCACCTTGACCACAGGTACCAGCTTCGATCCCTCTGGGAGGAACCAGGACACTTGGCAGTTGAGTTGGGTAAAGATGGCATCAAAGAAAGGTCGCCCGGCCAGAACCCCCGGGGATTTGGCCCACAGCGCAGCCTGTGTTGGAGCCGACCCGGTGACCAAGGCTGCAAAATTGAGGCTCGGGCAGTCTTCCTGAAGCCAGCTGTTCGCCAGGGCTGCTAGGGTCGTCGAGGGCAGCAGGAGCTGCAGGCCTGCGAGGGAACCAGAGAGACCACGGTTGGTTTCGCACTTCTTCCCTGGTAGCCAGAGGCGACACGAATATATTCAACTGCATGGGCGCTAGCCAATCAGGGTGGAGATTGGGCTGGGACAGAGCGTGGGGTCTCCCAGCTGACGAGGTTGTCAGAGTAAATAAAAACACCCCGCACCCAGCTAAAGTTAAACCTTCAGTAAGCATCCAAGAGTGTTATAAGGAGGCTGGGTGTGGTGGTGCAGGCCAGTAATCCCCACACTCCGGGAGGCTGCGGAGAGGACCTCATCAGACCCCCTCTCAAAATAGCCACAACAACAATAACAACATGTAGACGTGGGGCATTTGCTCCTTCCTGTCAAACCATGCCTCCTTTTTGTAAATTTTTTTCTACATCGTGTGTGTGTGTGTGTGTGTGTGTGTGTGTGTGTGTGTGTGTGTGTGTGTGTATGCAGGCGTCATTGCTCTTGCGTGCAGGTCAAAGGTAACTTTCATCAATAGTTGGTTTTCTTTTCTTTTCTTTCTTTCTTTTTTGGTTTTTCAAGACAGAGTTTCTCTGTGTAACTTTGCACCTTTCCTGGAACTCACTTGGTAGCCTAGGCTGGCCTCGAACTCACAGAGATCCGCCTGGCTCTGCCTCCCGAGTGCTGGGATTAAAGGCGTGCACCACCACCACCGCCCAGCTTAATAGTTGGTTTTCTAAGGCATGTAGGTCCTGGGACTCTACTTCAGCTTACCAAGCTTGGCAGCAGGCACCTTTATCCACTGAGTCATTTCCCACCATACATCCTGTTTTTAACTTTAATTGACTTACAGTTAGAGAAACAACGTGAGACACATCTCCTAACACATTTGAGTCCAGCAGTCTTACTAACCCCACACAGCCTCCCCCCTTCAGAATTCAAGCTCTGTGCCCTGAACAGCAGCTGTCTCCTCCTCCTCCCCCCGTTCCTGCCAACTGCCCCTCTGCTCTGTTACGAAATCTGAGGACGAGGACGTAGGTTCTCAGCTCATTTTCCTGTATAGTATGTCCCAGGTGACACATTTAACGACTTGTAAGTAAATGTGACCTGCTATTTGAAATTCAAGCGTGACTTGGCGTCTTGTATTTTATATATCAAACCTACTACTGGGTTCAAAGCTATTTATTTACCAATAAGATATTTAATATCCGGTTGTTCTTTGGAGACATGGCCTGCTTAGGTAGCCCGGGATAGCCTGGACTCCCAGTCAGCCCACCTCCGGAGTGTCAGGGGTTACAGGCATGCACCACCAAGGCCCTCTGTATTTAGCAGCATGGGTAACCGACTTAAGCACACCTGAAGGTTGCCCGCCTCCATTCCAGCCATCTGTGTTTCCCAGAAGGATTAGCTATTTATGCCCTGAAGCCCTCCAGCGGGCCGACAGCTTATGTCTCTTTCCTCCTAGCTTTCTCTGGAACATCAAGTATTTTTTATTTATGGTGGGGATCTAAACCAGGGCCTTGAGCTTCTAGAAAGTGCTCTACCACCAAGCCTCACCCACAGCCGGAAGTTCAGGTATTTACAGCCACAAAGGACCACGTAGGAAAGGAAATCTGCTGAGAGCGCACGGCAGCAAGGCGGCCGCAGGTTCAGAACTAGACGCCTTAGCGCGGCTGCAGACTAGGCTCGGTTGTGTGTTGTTCCAGAGAAGGTGAGGGAATAAAGGGTAGGGGCATGGTATCGCTAAGGTCCTTCACCAACTAAAGGACCTTTCAGCCTTTAGGGCTGCAGAATCTGGCCACTGCAGAGACAGACCCAGACACGATGCAACATTGCCACTTGCCGGTCTGTAGAGGAGCTGCAACCTTCACGCAATTTGTCTGGTTCCCTTAACACCCGCCCCACCCCACCCCCTCTCCTTCGCCCCTGCTGTCCTGGAATTCACTATGGAACCCAAGATGACCTTGAACGCTAGGCAGCCAAGGGCTGGGATTACAGGTGTGAGCCACCGCATCCAGTTCCCCAAACAGTTGTGGACTTCCATGTTGGTCTCTGAATTGCAGTTTTGCTGAGAATCCTGTTAAGTTGGTGCTGTCAGAATGCCTCCTGACCTCTAGGACTTCATGTTAGTAATTCCGCACCACTGGCCCCTGCTGGGCTCCTAGGCTGCGAACTCCCACTTGCCTGCACTGTCTTCAGAGTTCTTGCTTTACAGTCAGAGTTCCGGATGATAATGCTCTATCATTTACTTCCTGTCCCCGTCCCCCTTTTTTTTTTTTGAGACAGGGGCTGTCCTGGAACTGGATCTGTAGACCAGGCTAGCCTCGAATTCAGAGATCCCCCTGGCTCTGCCTCCCGAGTGCTGGGATTAAAGGTGAGAGCCACCACTTCCGCTGTCTTTGAGAACTCTGCCACTGTGAAAACTCCGGTTCACATCACTGCACCTGCCACTCTTCACTTTACCCCACTTCCCATTGGTTGTGTTGACACTCCTGACTGAGCAGCGGCCCGTGGAGATGGCGGTGGGTGGGTCTTCCTGCCACTCTCAGACCTCATAGTCCCTTCCCTGGCTCCAGTCATCATTCTCCTCTCTGATCTTTCCACAGACCCTGCTAGGCCAAAAGGTCCCTGTAATCTGCACCACACTCCGTCCAGTCCTCTGCTGTATTCCAGCTACTTGGCACAGCTAGGGACTCAGACTTGTAATCCCAGCTTGTGGAAGGGTAAGGTAGGAGAGTTTCAACAAGTTTGAGGCCAGCCTGGGCTACATACACAGTTCCAGAACAGCCTGGGCTACTGTGTAAAATTCTGTCAAATAAATAAATAAAGCAATCAAATGCATAGTGTGCTGAGCATTTGCAAAATGATCCAGGCAGTAGTGGCATACACCTTTAATCCCAGTACTCGGGAGGCAGAGGCAGGTGATCTGAGTTCGAGGCCAACCTGGTCTACCGAGTTTAAGGACAGCCAGGGCTACACAGAGAAAGCCTGTGTAGAAAAGAAGATAAGAAACAAATTTGTAAAAATGGCCAAATATTGGCAAGTTCATACTGCTATAGCAAATATGCGGTGGTAGTTATGCCGTCAGAGAGGCCACTTGGTGGAGTGACTCAGCCCAAAGACTGCAGGGAATGACCTGAGTTTCAACAGTGTCTCAGCCTCTCCCACCTCAGGCCACAACTCAGCCTTTTATTGTCTGTAACAGGGATAATGATGCAGAGACTCCGGACTGCTAAGCTCCAAGGGACGTCATCAGGCAAACAGTAGGTGTGTTGGCTAAAGAAATGTCTGAAGCATCTCGCAAGTGTGGTGGGTGCTGGAGGAGGTGACTGCGTGTCCCTGAGAAGGATGAGTCATGTTTGCCAGGCAGAGGTATTTGGGGTCAGAGGGATTTGAAGCTGAAAAGCTGAGGATGAGACTCAGGAGAAATGGGAGGAGCCGGAAGCTAAGAGGAATCTGGGCCGATCCAGGAACCGCCACAGAGCTGTAAGTGAAGCGCCGGGATTGTTTTTACTGGAAAGTTCACCTCAGCCACCAACGATGCACCCAACAAAGAGTGGCAGAGCCCCAAACCTAGGCGGCAGCGTAGGGAGGGAGAGCAAGGGACGATGTGAGAACCAGCTGCTTCTGGGGGGAATCTGCCGAACTGGCAGCTGTTAGGTATCGAAGCCTCGGGTTCGTCTTCCAAGTGGTTGAACACAGACAGCAGGAGTCATCCCACGAGAGAAGTTTGGGCAAGAGGAACATCAGGGGAAGGTGGGAAGGGCATGGGGAGCCCTGGCATGTGGGTACCACAGAATGCCGCCTCATCTTAGCCTCCCCACAAGGGTTATTCCCATTTCAAAAAGCGTAGAAACCAAATCTCAGTGTTCCGGGGTGGTGCTGTGTGGTGAAGCCAGGCTCACAGCAGCACAGCTGGGGGGGGGGGGGGGGAGGCGGCTTTCTGCAGGTGTTGACGTCGCCACCTACGAGAAACATGAATGGTGCATAGAGGAGGTAGATGGGTCTGTTCCCAGGAGACACGGGAGTGAGGAATAGAGACTGTGGGCATGGTGTCTGAGCACAGCAGGGAGGAGGTGCAGGCCGAGGTGTGGCTGAGGTCGCATAGAGAAGAGTCAAGAGCGGATGTTTGGGGGTTGTGGAGAGGAGATTCAAGTGGAAGACTGAAAATGGGTCATTGGACTTAGCAACTTTGTGACTAAGAGGCCTTGGCTAAAGCAGTCTGGGTAGTGTGTGATGGAAACAGAGCTGCAAGGTCACAGTCAAAAATTACACCGTGAGGTGAGGAAGTGGAGGCGGTGTGAGCCGCTGGCTTCGGGTGCTGAGCAAAGGCCCTCACCCAGAGCAGCGTGGCTGGGGTCATCTGGAAAGCCTGTTTTAACTGCCAGCTGCATCAGAATCTGGGGGTGGGGGATCCCAGGTATCTACGTGTTCCAAGTCTCCCTCACATCCCAATGAAGACTGATACATAGAAGGTTAAAAGCCAAGGTCAGAGCCAGAGAGTTGGCTGAGGGTGAAGGTGCCCACTGCCTAGCCTGATGACCTGAGTCTCATCCCTGCGACCCACATGGAGAAAGGGAAGAATTGACTTTCACACAGGTTGTCCTCATGACCTCCATGGGGAGAGAGAGAGAAAGAGAGAATAAGTGAATGTTCAAATGCAGCATAAGAACTGGGATGCGCCAGGTGGTGGCGCCGCACGTCTTTAATCCCAGCACTCAGGAGACAGACAGAGGCAGGCGATCTCTGTGAGTTTGAGGCCAGCCTGGTCTACAGAGTGAGATCCAGGGTAGCCAGGACTGTTACACAGAGAAACCTTGTCTTGGATGTAGCTGCTGCAGATCCTGGCTAGGCTCCAATCCCAGGCTCAGAGGGGTTCACTGCAGCACTACTCAAATATCTCCAAGTCACAGAGTCAGCCCCAGTGCCCACCAACAGGATGAGTAAAGAAAACACGGTGTAGATGCATAGGGAAGCCTTAGCCTCAAAGAAAAACACAATTATACCATTTGCAGAAATGGTTAGAACTGGAAATCAC